CCAGCAACAAAAAGTTGCATTGTAGCCCAAAAAGGCTGGGAAAGCGCAGACAGTATTAGAATTTATTTGCCAATTTCTTGTCTTTAAATTAAGAGACAAAGTTAACAGGTCCAGAGCTACAACCCTATATGCTGGAAAAGCTCTTACAATTGCAAACAGGACTAAAAACCTGAAGTTATACACACATAAATCGCATAGTCAGGCAAAACAGCCCAGATAAAAAAAAGTAATTGGGGGCTTTCCTAAATACAAGTAATATTGTACCTCGTACAGTACAAGTAAGTTTAACGCAGTAAGCAAAAAGCCAGTACTACCTTGGGTATTTTTACATTAAATTGTTTTGGAAGTGTCTTTAATTTTAAGAAAACACTAGCCAGGTAACATTCTAATGGGCAAAGCATTCTCTCAGACTCTGCAATTAAATTATTTCTGGAGGTGCAATCAAATATTTGATTGAACTGATATCACCACTACTCCTCACATATGAGCTGCTCCTAAATTAGCTCAGCTAATCAACATCCTGTCTCTTTGACGGGTTATAGACATGTAATATTATCTGATGGGTTTAGCTTCAAAAGCACAGTCAATTTTTTTTTTTTTTTTTTTTTTTAAAGCACCAGACTTGCTCAGAAAGCTTGTCAAAGGCTAGAATGAATGAACTGGCACATGTGGAGATGTACGTGGTTTTGGGTGAGCAGAACTTTGGAAAGACTCAACAAAATGCAGACTGCTTGTAGGTCAATAGGCATGCGCACCACCACATCTTCATTTGGTTTAAAAGGGATCTTGTGGTTATTTCACTTCAAAATGCTTTTCTGGTACACCCACGCCTAGTTCATTAGCAATAATGAGAATGGTTCTGCATAACTTTAGATTTCTTCACACCACAATGTAAGGAAAAGCAACCATGAAGAATGCAGCATTTAAACAAGGCAATCACCATGTTGTTCCCTTCTGCCTCTTGCTGGCAGGCACTAGTACTTTAAGATGTTGCACAGCTGCTACTCTTCTCCAGAGACGGCTATACTCCTGTAAATGGGAAAATATTCCCTAATGCATCTTTTTCCAGGAGAAGTTTACAAAGATGTTACCATGTTTCCACAGGCTGAAGGCAGGATGAAAATACTGTGATTGTCTGGTTGGTTTCTCTAGAAGCAATTACTGCATCAGTCAATCCTGTACTGCACACACCACACCAACAACTGGAGTGGGTGTTTGTAGAGCACAATGGGAAGCGCCAGACTCTGTGCACTGTGATCCAAAACAGCAGCACCCTCTTCTCACAGCTTGTACCTCAAAGTGGTCACTGAAAAGCACCCTCTTCATTCCCTCTGAGAAAAGCCTTTCTCTTTTAGTATATAGCTTGCAGAGATACAAGACTAGCTTGAAGCTCTAATAACAGTCAGCTGGATTTAATTCCTTTAGTAGAAGCACACCACTATGTCAATGCTTAACAGAATTTATTATTGTGGTTAATTTATTGCAGGTACATGAAGATTTGGCATTTAAGGATACTTTAATTGGAGATGAAAAATAGAAAGGATACTAAAAACTAATGACTGATCCTTCTACTTCACTTTTTTTCCAGATGAATCTCCAGGTGCCAGCTGGTGTAAATGCAGATTCCAGTGACGTCAAGGGAGCTGTGTCAGTTTACACTAGCTGAGAATCTGATCCCAAGTGTGCTAGTGCCATTTTTAGACACTGCCACTGGAATTCACTTTTGTGACAAAATTACAGATACATCCAGCCTCACTGCATTTCCTCCTGTCCCCAAGTGTGTAACTGGAAACTTGCTGACAGACTGTGGGAGAGGGCAAGTGGGAGATGAAATTAATGCAAGCAGCCTACAACTGCACCCCCAAGATAACTTGGCAGTATCAGCATTACTACTATTGTTCTGGTGTCTCTTTATTTTAGGAAAAAGAATGAGTATTTGCTTTCAAAAAGTCTTCCTCCTCCTCCCAGTAAAAATTTAATGTCAGTAAAGGAAAAAAAAAGATGTTCTAAGGCATGCCAAGTACCTACCACAGAAGTTTGCTAACATACTATTTCAACCATGTACAATTGTGTACATTATTCTAATGCAGCATTAAGGAAATTATCTAAGAGTGGTGAAATTCAAGAAACCCCAACCTGAGCTCTGTTTATTCAGTTAAGTATTTGTTCCCAAAGGATCTCACCACCAGAGGATTAGCAAGGCTGGTTAACAGACACACACAGTACAACACCACCAGCAAAGCCAGACCTGTGTAACATCTGCCATCTCTATACACATATCCATGATCACTTGTGTGGGGAAGGAGGAAAGGAGGAAAGGAGGAAGTGGGGCAGTAAGCAGGACAGAATAGTTCCTTAAGGCTCCAGCCACCATTCCTAAATAGGGAAAGGGAGCTTTTATTCTTGTTTTATACACAGCAGCTGTTGAGCATGAGCATGCCATATGACAAAATCTAGTTGCCAGTATTAACCAGTGAAATGAAGCTGAATAGTTGCCTTTTGAGATACAAAGAAATCAAAGCAGGAGCTAGCTAATTAGAATAAAAGATGCAGCTCGCACAGTACTGAGGTAATTGTTTGTGTGTGCAGACCACCACCCATATCTTCCATTTAGGTCAGGCCATCAAGAGGCGGAAAAGGGCTGAAGACTGAAGACGAGACGCTCTATTTCACACAGTTGCCCTCTGGAAGGGCTGGCAAAAGCAGTCACTTAAATTAGGTACAGGTCATCAGACCAGATATCTTATCTATTCCTAAGAGAGGCAACTCCAGCGGTCCAAATCCCTATGGCCTTTACAGCAACACAATGAACTACTTCCTCATGTCCCTCTGTCAATTCACATTATATTCCTGGGTTTATTTTATTTTTTTAAAAAATCTTTTAAAGAGATATTTCATGTACGCTATGACCCTGTATCTCATAGCGAGGCAAGTGCTTTGGTTTATTTATGACCTACTAACCTTAAATTAAAAGATTAAAAAAAAAAATCCAGTCTGAATGTTCTCATAAGCCTGGAGATCTGAAATAAAACTTAAAATAAAGCTGGCATTTGTAACGCAGCTAGCTAAGCCCAGTGGGGGATAAAAAAATGAAAACCAGATGACAGAGGATGAAAGCATTTTTACCCTGTACAACCTGCACGCATCAGGGCTGTAACACAGAATTACTTATTTTCTGCTCTGAACAAGTCTTCATCCCCTTCAGCACAGGCTGGGCAACCAAGAAATACTGAGGTTTCCCACTAGAAGTGTGGCGAGGGAGAATGTAACAGTAAGCAATGAAAATAAAAACTTTAATGCACTTCACCCAACCGTAACATCAACACAGCTCCTCTCCTTCCCTACAGCCATCTGAAGGGCCAGGCTTCAGACCCCATATTGAGGTATGAAATGGCAGAGGGAAGCAGAGTATAAGAGCATAGGAATAAAACTAAAAGAAGCCTCTTACAGAAACTGGCTTGTAACAAGGAGGATGGTAAACGCAAGTGACCTTAAACCACCAAGTCTCCTCATTTGGCTAGAACAATGTTGAACACGCACACAGATAAGTACAAAAGACTATTGAGCTGAAGAGCCTTATTCCCTCATCTTTCATGCTGGTGTAACCCAGAACTCCTTCCCTAATATCCATGGGGTTACTGTGCTAAGCCAGTAACAAACATGGAAAATGCAGCTCGAGGGTTAATGTATTCATGGGCAGCAGCTATCCCGTGCTGCTGCGTCAGCAGAGGAGCTTTCTGCCATGCTGCTTTGAAGTCCCCTACATTCATAATCACAGCAGCATTCCTACACAAAATAGGCCTAATCTAGCATACCAGAGAAATGTGGTTCATCCCATTCACATCTAGCTCTCCAGTAGAAGACTTTAACAACCTGCTGTCCTTTAGATTCATTTGACAGAAAATACAGTTGAGCTAAATGTGAAAAATAAAAGTCTGTACACACAGAGCAAATAGTTGAAAGGAACAGCTAGCGAAGGTGCTTGTCATAGCATTTCTTTGCAGAATTTATGTGGGCAGCACACTTATAAATTGCAGTCTTTAGGTGCTAGCTCCTTTTGTACTCTTTAAGAGAGAGCATTTATAAATATATATGTATTTAAATGAAACATTAATAAAAAACAGAACATAAAACTCCCTTGCCTTTTGGTAAACTATTTAATAAGTAGCACTTCATGGAAGCCAATGAACCAGTCAGTCTGTGTGCCATGGGGCACACATGGCCCCAAGAAAAAGCACTCAGACCAACTGGCTTCAAGAGCTTGATCTCCTCAGAGAGGAGCTGGCTCACAATTGCATATAATAAGTAAGGTAAATTCCCAGGATGTCACACCTACTCTCTGGCCTGTCCTCTAAAATCCTTACCACCCCCAGTGAAGAGATGTCTTCTCTCTAATATGAAAATTAGAAACCACTGCATTTACTTGGGGCTTTCCTCCTTTTCTAAAAAGGGCAAATTGATTGGAAAGTTGACAAAATTGGGATGGGTGTGCTGTCTTGGAAGTTTAAGAGTGAGCCTTTCACTTTGTGAATTCATTTCTGGATATGAACAGCATGCTGCCACTTAAGATAAAAAGAGAATGAATTTGTGTCAAACCTTGACATAAGCTTATTTTTCCCCTTCTGAAAACTATTGTAACAGGTCCTGCATGCATGACATTTTGTAAGACAAACAAGTTGTACCGTCCCTATGAAGTTTATTATGAAAGTAAGGCTTAAAAGCAAGTGTTGTTTTAATCTTGTTTAGGATTGATGGAAAAACCAATTGAACCACATCAGCAAAAGATTCATCTCAACTCAGCAACACTGATTCATAATCTTAGTCAGCTTTGATAAATAGAGGGATTTTTTGATTTTGTGTTGGCAAATCAAAACAGTTTGATAAAACAGACCACAGAGCCCTTTCTGCTAGGATGCCCAACCTACACAATTAAAACATAAATAAATGAAATATCTTTTCTTTCCATAGAGAAGAAGCTTGGAAAATTGCCAGCTCCCTGTCTGAAGATCAAAATAGGATGTGCAGAGAAGGGTATTGGTGTCGGTAAGAAAACAACGATAGAAATTGCATCATCTGTGCGATTAAAATCACTGTGTCAATTTTGATCTTCCCCCCCTCCTTTCAGACATTTAAGGACGCTGTCAAGTCAATGGAGTTCTCTTGTAGTGGTTGCTTCAGTGAACATTCAACGCTGTCGGTGAGTTTGGAATTAAAGTGAAAACCATCGACCGTTGATTGTACCCTCCAGCTAACCATCCTCCTCCTTACTTCATGCTTTCAGGCCTTACCACCGAAGATAGCAACCTTCCCAGCACACGAGGCCTCTCCCCCACCCTGCCAAGCTTTACACAAAAGGTCACAATCAACATTCATTGCTGTCGGTGGGTTTAACTATGTGGACAAGCTCACTGAACAATGAATGCAACTGTGGCCCCACATTTTACAGTTGCCGTTAAGAGGAACATCATCTGAGAGCCGTAGCAAGAAGCATGTTCTTCCTATAGCCTCATATTTTCTGGTTAAAAAGCAGTCGAGAATGTTCACTTTTATGTTGTTTTTAAGGGTGCTTAAGTCAGTGGGCTGGGGAATAGGGGATGAAAAAATCTGCCTTTTTCTGAAGCAATGTCCTCCCCAGAGTTCAGGCTCATTCAAGCCATCAGGACGTATATGCAGTATGTATGTGGAAATGAATGCTAGCTTGGGGAACTGTTTGTGTACTTGCACTCCTAAGGAGTCTCAACACAGGAAGGAAAGATAGAAGCCTCATCATAACTACAATTACAGCTTAGTACATAAACTCTGCTGTCTTGTCAAGATAAATGTGCAAACAGGAGCCAAAATTCAAAGGTATAGATAAAATATTATAGCAGAAAAAGGACTGGTTTCACATTAAGCTTATTTTAAGCATTTAATAAACACTATTAAACAAACAACATTGGACTTGCCTCTTTTTTGTGTTCCACAATAAACCAGGAATGAAAAACTGCCTATTTGGTAGTAACCGTAATAGACCAGTAGTTGAACTGTAAAACCTACTATAACCTTTGTGTACTTAAGTCATGTTCTCAGAATTTTTGATAGCAATATGGTAATAAAAGTTTAATTAAAGCACACTACTCTGTCCTTATTTCCTTACCACACGCATATATATAGGGCAATTCTAAATTTCTAACATCATGCAGGTCTCCAAGGTAAGTTTTGCCTTTAGACTTAGTTGCAAGTCAGATATTCCAGGGGAGACACAACATCCTTAAGTTCAGTAATCACAGGTCATTTTTCTTGTTGCTCCATGTAAAAGAGATCCATTAACAATAGTTTGAAAAAAGTTTGATGATCTTTTATAAATAATCAGTTACACAGGGTTCTCTTACTGCTGTACTTGCTTGTTTTATCAAGATTGTTTGTCCATGTAGCAACTAAACAGTTATAAAACATCAAGTCTATCACAGAAAGATACATTCATCCATATCTGCTTCTTCAACCTTCTATTAACAGTCTAATTAAATGGTAAAAATATATTTCAGGCATGATAGAGGTCTCCTGAATACCATGCGGGCAATTTTATTGGGGGCTGCGTTCCTAGAAGAGTGGGAGGGAAAGGAGATCAGTTCCTCAGAGATAATCACGCTAACATGAAACAATTAATCCTGCAAGTGTCTGGACATTATGTAAAATTCATCAACTGGAGAGTTGTTTTTAAATCCAAAAATTTCTGGACAACAATCCCCAGGTTCCTACTCCTTGCAGGATGGTAACTGCTACCAGAGGCGCAGAGTTCAGTGCTAATAGGAGAGGCACTATGGATGCACGAAGTCTCAGTGACCCTGTTTAGAGACAGGCCTGTATCTATGTTTACCCATTCCTACAGAAATGGAAACTTAGAATATAAGACTCTGAGTCCTGCTTTTAAAATGGGCTTCATCTATTTGCAATATTTATTTCAGCAGTGATCCACCTAGAAGGTAACTTTCAAATCAAGCTGTAGCTAGGATGTTCTGACAAGTATTCACCAAGATTGAATACTTTAAGCTAGAATAGATCAAATTCTGTTTCTGCAATGCATTGTTTAATGCAAGTTACAGAGGTGGTGAGCATTTATAATAAACAAGAGGCTTATCAGAATACAAGATGCTGGAATTTGACAGCACAGGAAGAAACCAGTATCCTTGTACATGCAGGCTCAGGGAAATAGGAACCTTTCCAGCTGTAACTGGGATGGGCAAATAACTGGTATAGAGGTATACCAGTTAAAGTGCAAGGAGA